TCCCTTGCCTCAGGAGACACATCTAGAAACACATTGTTATGGCAGATATCACAGAAATTACTGCCTGTGCTCTCTTCCAGGGTTTTTATGGTTTCAGGTTTCACATTTAGGTCTTAACCCATTTTGAATTTATTTTTGTGTATGGTGTAAGAAAGTGGTCCAGTTTCATTCTTTTGCATGTAGCTGACCAGTTTTCCCAACACCATTTGTTGAAGAGACTGTCTTTTTTCCATGGGATGTTTTCTCCTGCTTGGTTGAAGATTAATTGACCATAGAGTTATAGGTTCTTTTCTGGGTTTTTTATTCTGTTCTATTGAGCTGTGTGTCTATTTTTGTGCCAGTACCATACTGTCTTGATGACTACAGCTTTGTAAGGAGCTTGAAGTCTGGAATTGTGATGCCTCCAGCTTTGCTTTTCTTTTTCAGGAATGCCTTGGCAATTCTTGGGGCGCCTAGGTGGCTCAGTCGTGAAGCGTCTGCCTTCGGCTCAGGTCGTGGTCCCAGGGTCCTGGGATCGAGTCCCGCATCGGGCTCCCTGCTCAGCGGGAGGCCTGCTTCTCCCTCTCCCACTCCCCCTGCTTGTGTTCCCTCTCTCACTGTGTCTTTCTCTGTCAAATAAATAAAATCTTAAAAAAAAAAAAAAAAAGAATGCTTTGGCGATTCTTTTGTGGTTCCATACAAATTTTAGGCTTGTTTTTTTCTAGTTCTATGAAAAATGCTGTTGGAATTTGATAGGGATTGCACTAAATGTGTAGATTGCTTTGGGTAGTATGGACATTTTTATTTTATTTTTTATTTTTTTATTTTTTTTAAAGATTTTATTTATTTATTTGAGAGAGAGAGAATGAGAGAGAGCACATGAGAGGGGGAAGGGTCAGAGGGAGAAGCAGACTCCCTGCCGAGCAGGGAGCCCCATGAGGGACTCGATCCCGGGACTCCAGGATCATGACCTGAGCCGAAGGCAGTCGCTTAACCAACTGAGCCACCCAGGCGCCCAGTATGGACATTTTTAAAAAAGATTTTATTTATTTGACACAGAGAGAGCACAGGCAGGGGAAGCGGCAGGCAGAGGGAGAGGGAGAAGCAGGCTCCCCGCTGAGCAGGGAGCCCGATGTGGGGCTCGATCCCAGGTCCCTGGGGATTATGACCTGAACTGAAGGCAGTTCCTTAACTGACTGAGCCACCCAGGCGCCTCAGGTAGCATAGACATTTTAACAATATTTGTTCTTCCAATCCATGAGCATGGAATGTTTTTCCATGTCTTTGTGTCATCTTCAGTTTCTTTCATCAGTGTTTTATAGTTTTCAGAGTACAGGTGTTTCATCTCTTTGGTTAGGTTTATTCCTAGATATTTTATTGGACTCAACAGATTCTTGTTTTACTCCCAACTACTATCATATGTCATTGCTCACATTGTCCTGCTTTTGGCCAGTGAGAGCTTCTACAAGCTGGTTTGTCTTTCCTTTTGACATTTCCCCCGTAACTGTTTTGAGCACAGGTTTCAGGCTCATCTTATACTTTCCCTGCCCCAGCCCTGGAATCAAATCAGCCACTTCTCTAAGGAGCCCTAATTCTTTGTATTGGGGAATGATATTTATCGACCAAGATCTGGATACTGACTCCTTGCTACTGGGTGTCCCTGCTTCTCAACCCTCTCAGTGGACAGGGCTGGGGAGGTGTGTGCACATGCTTCCCATGTGTATGTGTGTGTAGGTGAGGTGTGCCTCTATTTCCATATGTCTGTGTGTGTTCAACATATGAATTCATACGAACAGCTCCATGTCCACTCCAGGAAAGCAGGGCTCATTTGAGCCCTTCAGTGTCTCTATGTGTTGCTCCCTTCTCTGCACTGACAGCCCTATATTTATTCACTGTATATTTATGTGTCTTCTCAAACTGGAACATCTTTTCCCAATCTTTTTTTTTTTTTTTAAGATTTATTTATTTATTTGTCAGAGAGAGATTGAACACCAAGCAGGGGGAGTGGCTGGTGGAGGGAGAAGCAGACTCCCTGCTGAGCAGGGAGCCCGATGCGGGGCTTGATCCCAGGACCCCGGGACCCGAGCCGAAGGCAGACGCCTCACTGACGGAGCCACCCAGGCATCCCCATCTTTCCCAATCTTAAAAATCTGCCTATCTATCCTTTAACTAAACAAACAAAAAACCCAAGGAAGTTACTTTTAAAATCTGAGTCACTGAATTGTTGCAGGAGGCTCTTGGTAGGTGTTCTTGCCAAGAGTGTCTCACGCATCAGGTGTGTTTGTGACGTCGTGCCTAAATGAAGTCAAGCCTCTTCCTGTCACGTGAGGAAGAATGGTTTCAAAGTTGAACACAGGGCACTGCTGATGCGCATGGGGAGGGATACGGGTGGATGCGGTACCGCCTCGTCTCCTATGGGCTTTGCTTTGTGGTTGAACATCACATCGATTCTAGAATAGTGGGTTAGTGCAGGAGACTCGGGGCCTCTGGATCGGCCCCACTTCCTGTGCCTAAGTCCCTGTGGGCAAGGCAGTGAGGGCCACATGGCCACCTGCACATGTGGCAGGGTTTATCCAGGAGAGGAGACCCTCCAGATGAAGCTCACGCAGGGCCCTGCTCATTTCTCTTCAGTTGCTGCTATTTGGAATTAGCATAACTGCATGAAAGCCGGTGTAAGTTCTGACACCAATAATTGAGTAGATGCAGACTTCTTCTGACACGGGTATTTCTGGGCCGGCATGGTTTTGATCTAGAACTGTCTGCTGTAGAGTCAGATCCGGCGTTGGGCCGTATCCTGGAAGGTGTACGTCAGTGGAGTTAACAGAGGCAGCTCAGGGCTTGGCTCCCACGACTGGCACAGCCAGGGGAGGGACATGTCTTTTTTCCTTAGTTTAGCTATTCTTTAAATGGAAGTTTTATAAAATATTTTCTTTCCCACTTTGAATAGTCTCAGACTTTCAGATGGCTGTTGGAGGGAAACCTCCATTTCCACTGTGCAGCTCTGAGAAAATGAGCCCCTGGTCACCCAGAGCCAGGTCCTGCGTTGGTCCCATCACTTTCTGGGCAAGTCTCCTGGTCTGGTGTGCCTGCTCTGGAAGGCGGCGCTCGCACCCCCCTGCTGCATTTGTGTGGGGTTAGATAAAACATGTGGAAGCAGCCCCCTGCACAGATGCACTGGCCCGAGGTCTCCATGGCTGAGAAAGTAAAGCTGAGAAATCAGGGAGTTACTTTTCCATCTGCCTGTTCTGCAGATGTTCACTGAGAGAGGGTGGCTTTCCATTGACTGACGGGTGACACGGGGACTGGGGACTTGGATCCTCCCACAAAGCCTCTGCTGTTCTTCTGGTTCAACAGTCACTGGCATTGCGAACCAGTGGCTGCCCTGCTCTCTGCAGACCGGGGTTGACTCAGGCGTAGGCCGGCTGTGGGAGTTTTCATGCCAGCAGCCACGAAAGTGACAGTGACAGAGATTAGACGAGGCTGAGAGCGCAGCCCGTTGATGTGGGCACCGGGGCAGGCAGAGCTGGGGTGAGCCAGGTGTCCAGACCATGCGGTCGATGGTCAACCCTGTACGTCATGATCAGAGATGGTGCTGGTCGTCGGGGCCACAGCAGGACAGGGTCCTTGGCCCTTAAGGAATGCATAGCGTGGAGGGAAAGCACGGGCTGGACATGAGGCCCCGGGAGAGATGCACACGCCAGGTGCGGGCGAGCCGCTGGGCAGACTGGGGACAGCCATGTGGATGATGAGGCATATTTGCGAGCTGGCCAGGCCCAGAGAAGGCCAGAGTGTTCCAGCAGAACTGGCAGGCTGGGGGAGCGCCGGGCTGGGGAGGGAATAGCGTGGTGCCCTCTGACTGTTGGCACAGCTCTGAGTCAGGGAGGGCTGGCCGGGGTGCTGCTGCCCACGGACTTGACCTGCAGGGGGGTTTTCACCAGATTTGCATTTCTGAAAGGTGGATGGTGGAGGGGAGGAGGGTAAGACCAGAGGTTCACATGAGCCCCTACTGTGATCAAGGTTGGGGCGGGGAGTGCTGGTTGGAGTCACTGCCCTGGGGTGGAGGGGAAGGCAAGATGCTAGGAGGACGGCCAGCTTTTGGTCAAGGCAAAGACCATTGGGAGGTGCTCAGTGACAGGTTTGCGTCCATCTCAGGGTTGGGGGTGCCAGGGGCAGAGAGGGCAACTTGAGTAATGAGTCCACATGAGTTCACTTCCTAGCCTTGGGCTGGCCACGTCCTGCCCACTCCAGTCAGCCCCTTCTTCTCCCCAGCACACGGACACACCCCTGCAGGTCCCCATGGCCGTGGTCAGCTGCGGTGACGTGGCTGACGTCCCCTCGTCCATCCGCCTCCTCCACTGGCGTCAGCGGCACCACTTGGTTCTATTCTTGTCCTGCCGACTGCCGCTCCCCATTCTGTGCAGGGTGTCCGAGATGTCCCGACCTCCTGACTCTCGTGTGGTCCACCCCCTCTCTCCGGGGTGGCCTCACCCAAGCTGGAGGCTCTACATACTGTCTCAGTGTCCTGGAGCTGCCAGAACAAAGTCCCACAAACCGGGTGGACGAAACTTGCGACTCTGGTGGCCAGAACCTGAAATCAGCCTGGAATCTCTTTCAGCTCCTGGTGGATCCAGGCGTTCTTGGCTTGTGGTAACATCAGCCCAGTCTTGGCTTCTGTCTTCACATGGCGTTCCCCTCTGTATGTCTCAGATCTTCCTCTCCCCACTCTTAAGGGACACCAGTCATTGGATTTAGGGCCTCCCCTAAATCCAGGATAATCTCATCTTAAGACCCTTCACATAATTACCTGCGTAAAGACCCTTTTTCTAGAGAAGGTCCCATTTGCAAGGACGAGGGACTGGGATTTGGCGATCTCCCGGAGGACACCGTTCAACCCTCTCCTTGCACCAGGCACACCGTGATGGTCACCGAGTTTGCATTTCTGTCACAGTCTCATTTGTTCAGAATTTGTGTGAGAAGCATCTCAAACCTAAAATGTCCCGACTCTTGCTTTCTCCTCCCAGGCAACAGAACCTGCTCCTCTCCGTCTGCTCCATTTCGGGACATGCGGCTCTGCTCTGCTGGTTGCTCAGGTGGGAACCCCGCATGGCCCCCTGCCTGTCCATGGCTGCACACCTGTCCTTGTGCCCCTGTCACGGCCCCCTTCTGCTCAGACCCTCCCATGGTTCCCTGTGCCCCCAAGACAGGGGGGCCCGTGGCCCGTGAGAGTCTGTGGGACCCGGTCCTGTGCGTCCTGCTCCCTTACCTTCCCCTTCTCCTTCACCAGTCTGCCCAGCCACACCAGCTGTCCGTCTCACACACCACACTGTGGCTCCTTCCGGTCCTCCTGCCTCCGAGTGTCTCCCGCAGGCACTTTTACTGACCCTCCCCCAGTCTTCTCTGTCCCTGCCTGGTTGTCCTCATCGCCTCCTGACACCCGTGTGCAAGGTGACCTGTTGGTGCCTACCACCTCCCCGACACCCTGTGTGAGTGGTGATGGGTTGGTGCCTGTCTCCGCCGGAGCCCATGCTCCCCCAGGGCACAGGATGGTACTTGAGGCATGAGCATTTGCTGAAGGAAGGAGGGTAACCTCATTTGCCCCTTGGCTTTTCACGAGGTCATGTGAGCCCCCACCTCATGCTGGCTCCCTGGGCAGGTGGGAGGCCCTGGACTCCCTGGCAGCCTGGCCAGCTCTGCGGTCTTGGCCCTGTTACTCAGACTCCTCAGGGTAGAGTGGCCCCCCCGGGAGAACCTGCCTTCAGGGAGGGTGCGAGCACTGAGTGGGTTAAGATGCTGAAGCACGTAGGAACTGGGCTGGCTTTTGCAGCCACTGCTGCTGGTAGTGGGCTGGGCATCGGGACAGGCTTCTCGCTCCTTCCCCGACTCGCTAGTCTTGGACTGGATTTCTCCCACTGAACACGGTCTCCCAAAGCATTACTTCCCCTGGTGACCTTCCGTGGTCCAGCCAGTGCCGAACGAGTGGCATAACTGCCCTCGACCGGTTCCTGTGCCACATTGCAGGTGTTCATGGGGGGGGCTCAGCGTAGCCCCCCTCGAATTAGTCTTACTTTGAAGCTTTGCCTTGTCATCAAGTAAATGAACCATTATTTCCATCTGCTCCTACATACAGATGTCAGGAGAGTGCCCTTTGTCATTCCTGTCTTCCATCCGGTCTCCCCGACCTCACAGTCGCCAGGTCTCTTCCCAGAAGGGCTGCCCCATCGCACAGCTGGGGGGGCCTCTGGCTCCCGCTCTGTCCCCACAGCCCGCCCTCAGTCTGTGCAGGGGCTGCCTGATGCGCCCCTTCTGTGTGGCCTGGTCCCCTGGCCCTCGCCGACTCCCTGTCGCAGCCCCAGGCCCAGGACGGTGTCCTGCACGTGTAGACAGTTACTAGAGGGAATGCATCCGGGTGGGTAAAAACTGTGAGAACAAGTCCAGGCCTGGAGCACATGGAAACTTGGGGCCACCAAGTGAGCAGGATCAGGCTGAGGGGGTTGGCTTATAATGTAGTAGAGTGCTTCTTTCCTCTCCGTGTGAAAATACGCATTTTAAAAAAGTATATAGATGCTGGGGAATAAAGGGACCAAAAATGCTCTGCAATTATTAACTGACGCTTTTCTGCTTTTGTTTCCCCAGACACCATTTGCTTTTGACTCAAGATGATGTGATGTTTTATTATAAAACTCATTAACCATGATGGCTACACAGACATTAAGCATAGACAGCTATCAAGATGGGCAACAAGTGAGCACCTGAGCTTTATTCCACATTCTAAATACAGTCCATGGATCGCGTACTGAAACACGACCGAGGCTTTGTATATTTATAATTCAGTTTCATGAGGTTGCAGGCTCAATTTTAAGGATATGATGCGTTGATCATGTGCTGGTGCTAGAAAGGCCCGCTATAGAGTTATTCAAATCATTTCTTCCACTGATACCAAGTTGCCAGTAATGGTGACTCCCCTAAGTCATAGTTCATTGGGAATTGCCCTTTTTGATGTCCGTGCTAATGAGTGTTGTTGCTTTTAAAGAAAAGCTGGATGACCGGTTGCTGACCTGAGTGGGAACCACGGTGTTTCCCCTCCCCAGGCGTGAGCGGCGGGGGGCCTGTCCCATTTGTCTGGGCAGCATCGTTGCTGTGCTCTCTGCTCCTGTTGTGTGGCCGTGCCCGGACAGCCTCTTGCCTGCCCTCCCACTGTCCGTGGACTTGGTGTTCCTTGCAGCTGCGGTTGAAGGTCTGGGTGTTTGGTGTTCTGTGCCCTGAAGGAACTGGGGAGGCAGGGATGGGAGAAGCTCAGCCGAGGCCTGGGCAGCCTCTCTTGGGACACCTGAGGTCTTGGGATGCTCTTTGTGTTCAGAATGGGGTCCAGTCCCCCTCTGACTGTGGAGCCCTGGAGCTTATTTCGTCGAAGACCTTCCAGTCTTTGCTTCCTGCTTCCTGTAGTCAGGAGGTGGTAGAAGAAGGCCCAGAGGCCCCTTTTCTCCCTACTCGAAGTGAGCTGGGTCACAACAAGGCCAGGGGGACTGGCCCGAATGAGGTCACAGCCCTGCATCAGTGAAGTTGCAGGTGGCGCCTGGGACCTGAGGCTCCCTCCCTCTTCTGTTGTGTCTTTCCTTGGTGGCTAGTTCTGTGCATTCCTGCTTTGGTTCCTGTTGCACAGACTTTGTTTTTGTTGGCTTGTTGTTGTTGTTGGCTTTTTGTTTAAGTGTCTTAGCTTCTTAGGGGAATTGAGGCATGGGGGTGCTCTCTGCACCTGGAAGTCCTTGGATATTTCCAAGTGATTTTGTATCTAAAATGCAAAGCTAGTGTTGTCCCTCTCTCCACCTGCTGAGCCCTGCCTTGAGGACCCTGCATTGCCCTTGTCCTCACCTCTGCACCCCACTTCTGGGCATCCCTGCCCTGCGGCCCTGGCCCCGGCTCTTCCCTTGGCTCTTGCCTCAAGGAGCAGCTTGGCCAGGGCCCTCTGGTCCTGCAGGTCTTTGCTTCCATCACTTCCTATGAAGACTTCCCAGCCTGCCTTGGTCCCTCCCCACTTGCCACCTGCCTCCCATCCTTCCTCCACTGGTCCCCCTGATGCCCTGCTGGCAGATCCTGCCGGGAGTCTCCTCCTCCAGCAGGTCTGTGCCTGGAGGTGACTGAGGTGGCCGTGTCCTGCGCGGTGCCAGGCACAGGGAGGGAAGGAGCCTCGCTTTTCCCTTGACGTGGAAAACTCTTGGCGAACATTATTTTAAACATTTCCTATCCTACAGTATAGATATGCCCAATTTCCTTGGCCATGTCTCCGACATTTAGGTTTCTCTTTCTTCCACACTCATTGTTTTTTTTTTTTAAACCTGAAATAGGTGCCTGGGTGGCTCAGTCGTTAGGCGGCTACCTTCGGCTCAGGTCAGGATCCCAGGGTCCTGGGATCGAGCCCACATCAGGCTCCCTGTTCCATGGGAGGTCTGCTTTTCCCTCTCCCACTCCCCCTGCTTGTGTTCCCTCTCTCGCTGTGTCTCTCTCTGTCAAATAAATAAATAAAATCTTTTAAAAAAAATAAAAACCTGAAATAAATCTTTTAAGGCTTTTTTATACTACTGTCAGATTTCCTATCAGAAAGTTGTGTTTGATTGGGCTTTAGTTAGTTGCTTTAGTGTTTTGTTTTTCGAGAGAGAGAGGGAAACCCTCTCCCGGGCCCACTGCACCATCTAAAGGCAGAGGCACAGAGGTGTCCCTGCCTATCTGGACCACTGAGAGGCAAGTGCGGTGCCAGGGTCTCCCCTGCGACACAGCCCCTGGGGCCTGTGACCAGCCCTGGCTGTTAGGTGCCGGGTTCGTGGCAGGACGCTGGCTCTCCCCCGCTGCGTGGGAATAAGCCCCTTCCCCGAGGGCCCCCACCGGGCTGCTTCCTTGAGGACGGAGTCCTGGCCGCAAGGGGTGGTCCTGAAGAAGCTGAGGGGGCTGGCGATCTGCTCACGGATAATTACAAGGTTCCTGCAGCATTTTGGGATTTCTTTCTGTAAACCGAATTCTTTATGCTTAAGGATTTAAATACTTTTCACCTAAGTTACAAACCAAATAGCTAGTTGAAAGCAATTTATAATATCTTTAAGGCTTCCTCTTATGTTTAATACTATTTCTTTAAACACAGCTGGTCTTTGCCTTCTGAATACAGTGACTTTTTCTCAAAATTTGGATAGCTTATGTATTCCTGAAATGTAAGAGTAGATAGGGGAGAATTTAGAATATAGGGTCTGAGTTGTTTTTGTGACAAGATAAGAGTTTTAACTACTCGTGTGCACTTCTCTTACTCAGCGTGAGCATCTAGAGCAGGCAGAGACATTGGAAAGATTATTTATGTGCCGCTTCCCTTCAGCGCTGTGTAGTGTGTTTTTGAAAATCATAAGCATTTCACGGATACCGGTCCTCACAGTTTTCAAGATGATTTGGAAATTTGACCTTTGTTGTAGCCGTTTTCAAAACGTATTAAATTCAAAGGAATTTTGTTGGTAGTGTTTTTTATGTATTACTGCCAGTCATCCAGCTGTCTAGCAATTTACCACTCCTGTTGCATTTCTGTTTCTGTTTGAGAATAGAGTACTTAGTAGCAGTTTATTTTGTGTTTAGTAACCAGAATTCTCTCCTCCTTTCACAGATGCAAGTAGTAACAGAGTTAAAAACGGAGCAAGATCCCAACTGCTCTGAACCTGATGTGGAAGGAGTGAGCCCCCCACCCGTGGGGTCCCAGACGCCAATGGATGCGGACAAGCAGGCCATTTATAGGTAGCGATGAGATGTGACGCATGTGGGTTTTAACAGGAATGACAGGAATAGAGAACCTTGTTAAATGGAATGCTAGACCTATTAGCTAGGCAGAGTAGTAAGGTTTGATGTGATAACCATGGGAGTGAGAAGTTTGTCAAATTAAGATATTATTCCTGATACCTTAAAAAAAAGTTTTGGAATATAAATGGACATTTTAGTCAACCTTGCAAAAAGAAATCTTCAGGCCCAGGTAGTTTTACTGGAGAATCCAGTAAAGGAAGAGGGAATGCCTCCCAACACATCACTCTGATACTAAAGACAATACAAAAAAAAAAGTATACACCAGTGTGCCTCATGAACTTAAACATAAAAATCATTAATAAAATACTAAATCCAGCAATATATAAAAAGAATAACACACAATGACCAAGTGGAGTTTATCCCAAGAACTCAAACTGATTCGTTAGTCAAAAAAGATCAACCAGTGAGACGCACAACATGATCATACTAAGTGACACAGAAAAGCATTTGACAAAAATCAACAGCTAATTATGATTAAAAACTGTCAGCAAAGTGGTAACGGAGGGAAACTTTCCTAACCTGATGAAGGGCAACATCAAAAAGTCTGTCGTTCTCATCGTATTTAATGGCCAAGACTGTTTTCCTAAGACTGGGCACACAGCAGAGACGTACGCTCTGACTCCTCTTGTTCAGTACTGTAATGGAAGTCCTAGCCAGTGCAGTTAAGGCAAGAGAAAGGAAGAAAAGGCATACCAGATTAGAAAGGAAGAAATAAAACTGGCTCTGTGCACAAACGACATGATTGTTTATATAGAAAATCCCAAAGACTCAACCAAAAACCTTCCAGAACTGGGTGAGTTTAATAAGGTCACACATTACAAGGGCAACACACAGAAACCAATCCCATTTCTATATGAGTAATACACAATTGGAAGCTGAAAATTAAAAAAGACAATACCATTTACAAGAGCTCCAAAAAATTTAGGTATAAATCTAACAAAACGCAGAAACTTTATGCTGAAAAATTATAAAATGCTGATGCAAGCAATCAAAGAAAACCTAAATAAATGGTGACACATACCATGCTCATGGATGGGAAGACTCAACTTAGTAAAGATGTCCTTTCTCCTAAAATCGACCTGTAGATTTAGCATAATTCCAATTAAAGCCCTAGGACGGTTTTGTACATACAGACACGTTAATTCTAGATTTTATATGGAAGGCAAAATAACTAGACCAGCTGAAACAGTGTTGAAAAAGAATAAAGTGGGATTTTTGAGACATACCATGGCATTATGGTAATGAGAATGTGGTGACGGTGGTGAAGGGATAGGATCAGAATCACTTTTGTCCTATACAAATACCTTATTTATTTGATCTTTGACAAAGGTGCAAACAATTCAGTGGAGTAGAGGTAGACTTTCCAAAAAATGGTGTTGGAAGAATTAGACATTCATATGCTGAAAGAAGATCTTTGACCTAATCTCACGTTTTATACAGGAGTTTACTCAAGGGGGCGCCTGAGTGGCTCCATCAGTTAAGCGTCTGCCATCGGCTCAGGTCATGATCCCGGGGTCCTGGGATCGAGCCCCACGTCGGGCTCCCTGCTCAGTGGAGAGCCTGCTTTTCTCTCCCTCTTGTGCTCTCTCTCTCTCAAATAAATAAATAAAATCTTAAAAAAAAAAAGTTTACTCAAAACGAAGTATAGATCTAAGTGTAAATTTTAAAACTATAAAACTGGTCTCTCCATACCATGGAATATTATTCAGCCACAAAAAGGAACGAACTAGTGATACGTGTTACAACATTGATGAGCCTGGAAAACACCGTGCTAAGTGAAAGAAGCTAGATGCCAGAGGCCACGTATTGTATAATTCCGTTTAGATGTCTAGAACCCTAGCAAATCTATAGAGACAGGAAGTCGGTAGTGGTGGCCTGGGGCTGGGGTTTGGGAGAAGATGGGCAGTGACAGCTGATGGCTGCAGGGTTTCTTTGGGGGATGACGAAGATGCTGTAAGATTGACCTTGGGGATGGTTGCACCGCTCTGTGAACAGAGTAGAACCATTGCACTGTACACTTTGAAGGGGATAAACTGCAGTTTATGAACGGTATCTCAACAAAGCTGTTATATAAACGAATGCAGACATACGTACTAAAATATTCTCGTGCAAATGTAGGACGTACATTTTAAAATTTTTTTCCTGCAGGCATCCACTGTTTCCATTATTAGCTTTGTTGTTTGAAAAATGTGAACAATCTACGCAGGGCTCAGAAGGCACAACTTCTGCCAGTTTTGATGTAGATATTGAAAATTTTGTAAGGAAGCAAGAGAAGGAAGGAAAACCCTTCTTTTGTGAAGATCCGGAAACTGACAATTTAGTAAGTATAAGAAATGTTTTATTTTTTTCCCCCAAATTTAAAATCTGTTCAGTAAGTTTTAAACGTCTAATTAGAACTTCAGGATGTAGTTCTGCTAAAGGGGAGAATCCGATAGTTTATGAAATAACTTCCTGTGTGTGTGACCTGAACGTCCCCATGTCTTCTAGCTTTCTGTAGTGACTTTTACTGTAGGGATCAAAGGAGCTCATCTGTGTCTGTGTCACAAGGGGCCTGGGGACGCAGTTCTCTCCTGAGTGTCTGTGAAGTTCACTGGGGTTGGTGTGCTTATATGCCGTGCCTCTCAGGCAGCATGCCTGTGCCCCAGCCCAGTTCTGGGCTTCCCCGGATCGCGGACACACACCCTTATGCTCTGTCTGGAGGCTGGCAGTAAGTGGTGGTGGGTGACAAGGCTGTATGCAGACTTGAGGAGGCCCTTGAACACAGAGCAGGGCAGGCTTAACGGGGCTCGCACGCTCCTCAGCTGCTTCCCCTCGCCTTTCAGCCTCGTGTGGGTGCCCTCCTCCCAGGTCCGGCGCCCCAAGGTCCAGGGTCCTCTGTGCTTGCTGAATGAAATGCAGAGTTTGTCAGAGTTAACATCACTGCTGCACCCCTCAGTGCTGGTGGAACGCTGTTAGCCCACGTCAGGGGACACGCTCCTTCCTGGGCTCCCTTTAGAGCCTGCTAACCCCCAGCCGAAAACCGTAGTCAGGGCCCTGATGAGCAGAAAAGTGTCTCAGGGAACTTTTTCCTGAATAAATGTCCCAGATCTTTGTTGGTTTTTAATTTCTCATTATACGTTCAACCCTTCGTGCCTAACGGATTTTACCAGGGCGCTGTCTGACCGGGAGTCAGCCTCCTAATCTCTGAACCGGGAGAGTGCCCGCCCTTTTGGGGTGAGAATCAGAAGCTCTCTCTGCTTCTGAATCTATCACATAGCCAGCAGTGCGTGGCTGCGGGGACAGCCAGAGGGGACCCAGGTTCTCCTGACTGGTGTTCCAGCACAGAGCCTAGCAGAGCCTGGGACGGGGTCGCTCTTTATCACCTGCTTGGCGGCTCATTCCACAGGTACATACGAATTACTGTCCCCAAGGTCACTGGGAAGGAGCTGAGCTTTGGGGTTGTGCATTCACAGGCAAGTGGTGCTCATTAGAGACCACTGTCTACTGCTGTGGGGCAGGTTACTGTGAAATTTAGTGACTTAAAGTCACTGTAAAACTCCTAGAAAAATCGGGCGCCTAGGTGGCTCAGTCGTTAAGCGTCTGCCTTCAGCTCAGGTCATGATCCCCAGGTCCTGGGATCGAGTCCCACATCGGGCTCCCGGCTCGGCAGGAAGCCTGCTTCTCCCTCTCCCACTCCCCCTGCTTGTGTTCCTGCTCTCGCTGTCTCTCTCTCTGTCAAATAAATAAAATCTTTAAAAAAAACAAAAACAAAAACGCCTAGAAAAATCTTAAAAGGGCTAACCTAGTGCTAGGGAAAGAGTTCTTAGGCTTGTCACCAAAAGCACAATCCATAAAAGGCAGAGTTGGTAAGTGGAGTTTTATCAAAATGAAGAGCCTCCTATGAGGGGGGTATGGATTCCTCCCCATTTACAGAGGAAGACACAGGAGCAGAGGGAGGGTAAGTACCTTGCTCTTTGTTGGAGCCGGTCCGCAGTGGGGCCGGGGTGAGGCTGGGCTGTCTCCTGGTGCTGCCACTCACTGAGGGCAGCACGGGGACATCTGTGCCCCACACACCAGATGCAGCGAGATGCCAGAGGTCCGCGGCACTGGAATGACTTGTCGTTTTGCATGATTTCTGATGTTATCCCCCTCCTGTCATTGGCAGTGCAGATGGTCAGCGCTCTGTGGCATTCAGGCGAATGACTGAGAATTACAACTTACCGTGATGCTGCCGTTTTCTTGTCTGAAGGTCTTCATTTTCTCTGCTTCTAGATGGTAAAAGCAATCCAGGTTTTGCGTATTCATCTTCTTGAGCTGGAAAAGGTTAACGAACTGTGCAAAGATTTCTGCAGTCGATACATTGCTTGTCTCAAAACGAAAATGAACAGTGAGACTCTCCTGAGCGGAGAACCTGGAAGCCCGTACTCCCCCGTCCAGTCCCAGGTATCTGTGTCGGGTCCTGCTCTGCTTCTTGGTGATGGTAAGGTCTGCGGGGGTGACGGGTACTGACTCCTGAGACCAACTGCCCTGTAGGAGTGCCTGGGCTGACATAACGCCATCCTCAAGCCACAAGGACAGGCCCTCTGGGCTTCATGCAGTAAGTGGGGTGAGGCCTCAGTCTGCGTGTGCGGACCCTGGATCCCAGCTTTCTGGAGGATGGAGTACCATTCATTGCTTTCCTTTTTCTTCAGGGTTTTTATTATTTCTTAAAATTGTGGTAAAATACACATATCATAAAATGTACTGTCTTAACCATTTTTAAGTGTACAATTCAGTGGCATTAAGCATATTCACACTGTTGTGCAACCATCATCACCATCTATCTCTGGAACCTTCCATCTTCTCAGACTGAAACACTATCCCCATGAAATACTAACTCCCCATTCTTCCCTCCCCAGCCTCTGGCTCCCACTATTCTACTTTCTATGAATTTGATCAGTCTAGGTACCTCACGTGAGGGGATCATACCGTATTTGTCCTTTTGTGCTTGGCTCACTTTACGGACATAATGTCCTCGAGGTTCATCCATGTTGAAGCACTGTTATACTTGAGCCACTCTGATGGTGACATTCCATTGTGGTCATAGTTCACACTTCCCTGATGGCTAATGGTGTTGACCATCTTTTCATGAGCTAATTTGCCATCTGTAGATCCTCTTTGGTAGAAGGTCTGCTCACGTCTTTTGCCCATTTTCTGATTGGATTTTTTTTTAAACTGTTGACTTTTGAGAGTATTCTAGATACTAGTCTTTTTTTTTTTTTTTTAAGATTTTGTTCATTTATTTGACAGAGAGAGCGAGAGAGCACAAGCAGGGGGGACAGTAGAGGGAGAGGGAGAAGCAGGCTCCCTGCCAAGCGGGGAGCCTGATGTGGGGCTCAATCCCAGGACCCTGGGATCATGACCTGAGCCGAAGGCAGATGCTCAACCATCTGAGCCACCCAGGCGCCCCTAGATACTAGTCTTTTATGAGCTATATGGTTTGTAAATATTTTCTCCCAAGTCTGTACCTTATCTTCTCATCCTCTTAACAGGGTCTTTTGCATAGCAAACATTTTAAATTTTGATCAAGTCCCATTTATCAACTTTTCTTTGATGAGTTGTGCTTTTGGTGTTAAGTCTAAGAACTCTGCCTAGCCCTAGATCCCAAGGATTTTGTCTAGTTTTTTGTTGTTGTTGTTGTTTTCCTGAAAGTTTTATAGTTCACATTTAAATCCATGACCCATTTTGAGTTAACTTTTGTATAAAGTGTGAGGGTTTAGGTTGAGGTTCTTTGTTTTGCCTCTGGACATCCTGTGCTCCAGCACCATTTGTTCAAATTCCTCCCTTGAATTGCTTTTATGCCGTTGTCAACAGTCAGTGTATTTGTGTTGCTCTGTTTCTGTGTTCTCTGTTCTGTTCCGCTGGTCTCTGTATTTACACCAGCTAATCTTGTTACTGTAGCTATTTAATAAGTCTCAAATTTGGGTAGACTGTTTCCTCCCATTTTATTCTTCTTTTTCAAAGTTATTTTAGTTATTCTAGTTCTTTTCCATATAAGTTTTGGAATAATCTTGTCTATATCAACAAAAAAATGTTACTGAGATTTTGATAGAAATTGCATTAAGCCTGTGTATCGTTCTGGGGAGAATTGATGTCTTTCCTCTGTTGACTCTTCCAGTCCACAGACCGGGTATGTCTCTCTGTCATTTCTTTCACTGGTGTTTTGTAGTTTTGTGATAGAAGTCCTACGTATGTGTTTTTAGAATTACACCTTGTGTGTTTGTTTCTTTTTTTTTTTTTTTGGCTATTACAAATGGTATTATATTTTTAACTTTAGTGTCCCTGCTAGTATTTAGAGATACAGTTGATTTTGTATGTTTTATCTTTCATCCTGCAACCTTGCTGAACTCATTTATTAGTTCTAGGAGGTCCTTTTCACAGATTCCTCAGGATGTTCTCCTTATTCAGTTATGTCATCTGCAGATAGGAACAGTTCTGTTCCTTCCTTCCTGATCTGTTTGCTTTTTATTTCCTTGTCTTACCTTATTGTGTTGGCTAGAACATCTGGTACTATCTTGAATACGATTGGTGAGAGTGGACATCCTGCCTTGTTCCCAATCTTAGGGGAAAGCATTCTGCCTTTCACTGTTAGTTATAGTTTTAGTGGCAGGTTTTTTCTAGATGCTCTTCATCAAGTTGAGGAAGTTCCCCTCTATTCCTGTTTCTCTAAGAGTTTCTATTATATTGAATTTGTCAAATGCTTTCCCTGGGTGAATTGATATGATTATGTGATTTTTCTTCTTTCTTCTGTTAACGTGGTAGTAGATTACATTACTCGATTTTTCGAATACTGAACAAGCCTTGCATTCCTGGAATAAACTCCACTTGGTCATGGCACATAATTCTTTTTATATAGGTTCCTGAATTCTGTTTGCTAATATGTTGTTAAGCGTTTGTATGTCTGTATTGGGGGATATTGGTCTGTAGTTTCTTTTTTGTTACAGTCTTTGTCTAGGTTTGGTACCAGGATAGTACAGCTTTGTAAAATGAAGAATATATCCTCCTTTCCTATTTTCTGGAAGTGATTATATAGAATTGGTGTTAATTCTTTACATGTTTGATAGAATTCTCCAGTGACACTAGCTGGAGCTGGAGATTTCTTTTTTGAGTGTTCAAGTTACGAATTCGGTGTCCTTCATAGTTGTAGGGCTGTTCAGATGACCTGTTTCACGCTAGCTTCAGAGGCCCGTGTGCCGAGTGGACTGCGGCACTCCTCTCCTGCTGACGTGTGTAGGGTCTGCGGTGCTCTCAGTTTCCTTCCTGATGTTGGTAATTTGTCATGTCTCTTTGTTTTCCCTAAGTCTTGTAGAGGTTTGTCAGTGTATTGATCTTTGCAAAGAACCAGCTTTTTTTTCATTGATCTCTGTTTTTCTGTTTTCAGTTTCATTGATTTCTGCTTTGATCTTTATTATTTCCTCCCTTCTGCTTGCTTTAGTTTCCTTTTGTTCCTCTTTTTTAGGTTCTTGATGGTGGGAGCTTGGATTATTGATTTGAATGAATTAATATTCTAACCAAGTTAATGTGGCAGACCCACATTATTTGTATGTACCTACCAGAGCTTTATACATACATTCAGATTGATGTGGCAGCCTGCAAAGTAATCGTCTTTGGGCAGTACCCACTGATGCTGTTGAGCTGCTGAAATCCCTGGGTGCCTGCTGGGCGCCAGACCCTGTGCCTGGATGCCAGTGTGGAGCTCTCTCCCTGGCCGGCCAGCAACCCAGCCATCTCGGTGAATGGACGGGTGGAATCTTGATGCGGTGTTTATGATCATTTCTGTGGAACCTGCTGCAGGCCAGGCCCAGATTTAGCACTCCACAATCATGGACACCAGGGGGCTCGTGTCTTTTATGATGATTAATATGATGACAAGAGGAAAGACAATCTTTTGGAAGCCAGATTGAAACCAGTATCTCAGTACTGATGATGATAGTTGATACTGGGTCAGTCTTGGATCTCTTGCTTTGCAGGTATGTAAGGTGGGCTTTCTGTTTTCCCATAGCCCCTCACTTTGCATTTCTGACTTACAGCAGATTCCAAGTGCCATCTCAGGCACTCTCAGCCCCCAAGGAATCGTGGTTCCGGCATCTGCGCTGCAGCAGGGGAACGTAACCATGGCAACAGTGGCAGGTATGCTGACCGAGAAAAGGATGCTCTTTCCTTGAGCTTTTGTGGAAAAGCCCTTTATATTAGAACAGAGAAGTGCATAAATATAATTTCTAATTAATGCCAGTTCCTGAAATAGGAGTGGCAAAATCTAGAGCATTTAGAATTGAATGCCCGTTTCTTGTTTTAATTCCCAGTAACAAATAGTTCACGCAAATTGTGTTTCCCTACTAAAAAATTTTGGGAAGAAAGGTTTTATATAGGAGTTGACAGCATATAGCAAAAACCAATTGTACTTTGCAGATAACATAGTTGTTAATTGCACTCTTGGCAGCACCGGGAAAAGCTTAGGTTGGGTCATTAATGTTTGACAAACAAAGAAAAATTCATTCTTAGTATTACTTGTCAAATAAAAACACGGGAGGGGTACCGATTCTGTGGTTCCCTGGTGCATCTCGAACATCGCAGATATAAAATTGTCATGAAAATGGAATGGGGCATGTGAGGAGGGGAGAAATTTACAACGAAAACCCTCGTGTGATAGTGTCAGGGGAAACCTCCACAGGAAGACAAAGGCATGTTTGATCAAAATATACTATGATAACAAATAGTTCACACCAGTTGCCAGGTCCTTTAATACTGCTAATTGTGGGGAAAGTAGGAAACAGAGGCGGACAAAAAAGGGAATTTGCAGAATCCAAATAAGCCCTTGTGTCCTGTGCGGTGGTCCACCTTAACACCCGCTTTGCACTGTGCCCCCCGACCGTGCCCGCCCCCCCCACTGCCCTGTCCCCTCCACTGCCTTGCCCCTCACCCTGCACACTGCCCTGCTCTGTTGCACTGTGCCCACCCCCTGCACGCTGCCGTACCTCCTGCACAGTGGCCCGCACACCCCTTACAGTACCATGCCCCCCCCCGAGTGCCCCTCCCCTGCAAAGAGCCAGACCTCACTATAGATGCTGGAACACTACTTGTCCAGGGAAGTTGTTCAATAATTTATAGTGACAAGTCAGCCAGCAAAGTATTGATCATTTGAAACCATTTAAAAACCACATCAGACTAAAGATTTTATTCCTTTCATACGTATATCGAGTATATTGAGAATACGGTTTTAAATCATTGAGACTTAAAGAGTATTTTAATTTCTTCCTTCTTGAGGTGGCACAGTGTATCAACCTGTCACAGTTGTCACCCCTCAAGGCCAAGTAGTGACACAAGCGTTGTCGCCCGGCACGATCAGGATCCAGAACTCCCAGGTGTGTGTGCCATTCCCGCGGGAGGGTCTGGGGGCGCGTCGCGCAGGCGTGGGGCACAATAGGCCCAGGCTGGATCTGTTCCCTCTGCCTGAAGGTCGGTTGTCTCGAGCTGGCTTCCCGGTAGCAGTCTCCAGTTAATCTCAGTGTCCATGTTTTGTCTCTTGTTTACTCTTTGTCTCCCTCGGTGTAAAAAAGTTGCAAAGTTCAGAAAGTCTAAGGAAGCAGGAAAAAAGTCATCCATGACCCCTTCCCCTCAGCAACCACTGTCGTCCAGTTGAACACTGGATTGTGTGGTTGTCTGTGGATCAGGAGACTCGAGGCAGTGTGGACACGCTCTTCCCGCCGCCATGCAGGTTGACAGCGGACCCAGCAGGCAGGTCTTGCAGCCCGTGGCGAGGCCCTTCTGTGCTTCTGCTGGGCCAGAGCGCCACTCCGGGCTGGTCCTCGGGCTGGCCGGGGCCCTTCCTTAACATCCTCCCACAGCCTGGTGCAAAAGCTGAGCAAGGGCTGCCCCTTCCCTGCTCCCAGTTGCCCCGTGGAGGCCCTGCCCCAAGGCGGCTGGTGTGCTCTTCCTGCCCTTGGCCTCTCGCGCCCCCCGACCCCGGGCACCCCAGCTCCGAGAGCGCAGGAGGCCGCTTCACGGGCAGAAGCAGCACGTGGACGTGCTGTTCTGTGCTGGGCTGAGGTCACACTGCTCTCTCTGTGCCTCCGTGGTGAGACGGGGTTGCCTCGGTGGTCGTCCAGGCCGCTGTCGATCACGGAGACGCACGCACACGCACACACGCACACACACCCTTGTTTTCCACACTGAGCTAGGTTTAAGTCAGAAAGATAATGTTTCTGTTGTCAGCTCATAGTTAGGAATACAGATTCTTTATGTTAGTTGTCTTTATTTATTTTTTTTTTTAAGATTTTATTTATTTATTTGAGACAGAGAGAATGAGATACAGAGAGCATGAGAGGGAGGAGGGTCAGAGGGAGAAGCAGACTCCCCACCGAGCAGGGAACCCGATGCGGGACTCGATCCCGGGACTCCAGGATCATGACCTGAGCCGAAGGCAGTCGCTTAACCAACTGAGCCACCCAGGCGCCCCTATGTTAGTTGTCTTTAGCCCACACAGGTGTTTCCCACAACCTCACGGACGGCTTGGAGGCCAGCCCCGGAGATGTTGTGTGTCCCTCAAGCAGACAGCAGAGGCGAGAGGGCGTCGGTGGGCAAGGGCTGGCACCGCCAATCCAGGGCTTACTGCCTCTCACTGCATGGACAGAGCTGAGCTGGGGCGGGGGGCCTTGTCATCTGGGCACATGGGGTCTCACCAGGCCCAGCAATGGGTAGAGGAGGAACTGGACTCCACCAGCATTGTCCCTTGGTTTTCCAGCCAGCCTGCTTTCCCTGGAGCTTCCCATTTACCACACCTGTGAGCGTGAGGTGGTGTCTGGTTCGCAGAGCTCGTCCTGGTACCACATGGAACTGCTTTTAGAGCGAGGTGCCTTCCTTATGTAGTAGAGGTTTATTTGTCCTGTCGCTTCAGAAGAAAGTTTTCCGGGGCACCTGGTGGCTCAGTCAGTTAAGTGTCTGACTCCTGATTTCGGCTCAGGTCACGCACGGTCTCAGGGTCGTGAGATTGAGCTCTGCGTCGGGCTGTGCTCAGCTGGGAGTCTGCTTGGGATTCTCTCTCCGTCTCCCTCTGCCCCTCCCTGCTGCATGCTCACTCTCTCTCTCTCCCCCACCCCTTCTCTCTCAAATAAATAAATCAATCTTTAAGGGAAAAAAAGGGTTTTCTACTTAACTGAATTTTCTTATAGATGGAAAGGACTGGTTTAACTAGCAAATACATAGAGTTTGTATTTCAGCATAACCCCTCTGACACAGAACATGCCTGTGACCCTCCCCAGCCTTGTCAGGCAGACAGGTGAACACAGCTCCCAGCCTGTGGGCTGTCTCTGCTCCGGTGATCAGTCCACCGTGCGCCTGGCCCCTCCCCATCACACTCCTGCCGAGTCTGGCTTCTAGGGCAGCAGGGCCAGGAAGCCAAAGACACGAGCTGCCCCGGGTTTCCAACGGAAGAGTAAACAGATTGACTGAGGGCTCTGGGTGCAGGTGTTCTTTGAATAAAACCTGTACATGGTACGTGTGATTTTTATTGTAGCTGTTTGGGCTGCTCTGGGCTCTTTTCTTCCCTTTTTCTTTTTTTTTTTGTGGGGAGGGGGGATTGGTTCTTACTGGGCTTCAGGTAATTGGGGAGAGTAACTTAACCAGTGACATTTTCTGTTTTTGTGTCAGAAACTGTCAGGGTTGGTTTGATCGAGAAAACTGCTCGCTGTCTGTCTTGGCTCCCGTGGCCACTCTGGCCAGCGTCATTCACGGCAGCGCTGTGGTGGCGGTCACTCCTGTGCTGTCCCCCACCTGTCCGTCCTGCCCCATGTCTGGCTGCGTTGTGAGCGCAGCTGAGGCGGATTCTGACATTGCCACTCTCCCGCAGAAGAGAATTGGCCACCGTGGGCCACATTCTGACCTACGGCCCGTCAGGAGGAGGCAGGATTTGGCCTTTTCCTAGGGCATCTCTATGGAAAGGTGATTCTACCTTTTTTTTTTTTTTTTAAGTTTTTATTTATCTATTTGACAGAGAGACAGCCAGAGAGGGAACACCAGCAGGGGGAGTGGGAGAGGAGAAGCAGGCTTCCTGCCGAGCAGGGAGCCTGATGTGGGGCTCGATCCCAGGACCCTGGAATCATGACCTGAGCCGAAGGCAGATGCTTAACGACTGAGCCACCCAGGCGCCCCGAGGTGTTTCTACTTCTAAAAACATGTTTTCGAGGAAAGAGAAGTAGCCAGGGGGAATTTCACGGATTTCCTCCCGCTCTAGCTCCTCCCCCTTTCCCGGGAGAGTCTTATTTGTATATATTTTAAGTTTTTGCTATTACTTGGCCTGTGACAAGGTTTTTTTGCCTCCGTTTTACTCTTATTTTGCTTTTTTATATCAGGTGGTTGTGTGTCCAGCTCAGTGTGCAGGGTGCTGAGAGGCTTGGAGCCAAGCACCGCTTTTCCTGCCCCGTTCCCTCCTCTCCCCTCGGGCAGCTGCTTTCTGATCCTGCTGATTTCCTCCCGTTTCTCACTAAAAGTCCTCCCTCTTAACTCACCCCTGAAGCTCCCTGTTTGGGCTCTCTGTCACGGTTGGGGCCTGTGCTCTGTCCGTGCGCCCCCTCGGCAGTGGCTCTTCCCCGCCCTGCCCGTGCTTCTCCCCACAGCTCGGCCACACCTGTTGTCGGTATGAACATCACCTGGTCTCTGCGGAGCTGAGTGTGTACCTGTGATCTCAGGGCTTCTCTGGTTCAGATGTGTCTGGCTGAGCTCACAAGTGCTTCACTGTTGCCCAAGGTGCATCCATCGGGGCCATGGGCCCCCAGAAGCTCTCCGCCTGCCTTCTCCGGGGCTCTTCTCTATCCAGGCTGGGCATAGCGTGTGTTCTCGAACTTTCCTTTGACATCGCCTTGAGGAATCCCTTCTCCTAGAGCCTACATCCTCTACTTTCTTGGCTTTACTCCCCACTTTGAAAACTTCCACGGAAAATGTGCATGGGAAATACATTCTGTCGAGACGTTGCAAACCTGAAGATGACTTTATTTTGGTCTTGTACTTGACTGTTTCCCAGGACGGTTTCCGGAAGAAATCGTCAGCAGGGCCCGGGAGCATGGCATCGGGGGCTCTAGCCGCCTTGGGAGGAGGTCAGCGCTCGCTGCTTTCCAGGCTGCTGTGTTTTCTCCTCTCAGCCGCGTCTCTTCTCCGAGCTGTTGCTGAGCCCTGGGAAAACCTCATGTCCTGGAGTCTGAGACCTCTCCTTGATGCCTCTGAGATAGCCCTGCCCCCACCCCAAGACATTAGATCTTCTGAACCGAATCTCTGCATTTTTGTGTCATTTTGTATTTGTATTCCCATTGTCTGGTTTCTGAGAGATCTTTTATCTCCCAACCCATCCATGCAGGTTGACCTCTTCAGCACAGTTTGGATTTCTTTTTTTTTTTTTTTT